CCTATTTGGCTAGAAATGGGTTTCTGAAGCAAGGCACTGCAGCATCACTTAAACCTGCAAGAAAGAGCTCAGATGAAGACTGTGGAGGGTGGTTCAGGAAGAAGAGTTAGAAAATGAGAAAATTGAGGTTCCAGTTAGGATCCAGGGCCTTATGCTGGAAGTGGTCAAAAATAGATACCTAAGAACAGAAAAAGCATACATGTTAGTTCCCTCATTATGCTCCCAGATTTCAGTCCCTTTCCACTTGTATGTCCTGAGTTGCAGATTTGACTTCTGTGACTACCTGGTCTAGCACAAACCACTGTAAAAGATGCTAGAGATGCTGAAAGTTTGGTAAGGAGACCACAGCTCAGATCTTCTGCATGTTCCCCCTGCCCCGTTTGTTTGAATTTGATTGATGCAGTTTCATTTGATGTTCTTGTATTTGGAAGAGAGAATGAGAAAATATTCTTGCTCCATTCTCTTTGTGGCACTTATTTTTTGACTGTCAAGTGTGCTGTTTCTGTTTGATTTGTGTCTCTTCCAGACTGATGAGTTGGAGCTTATTTATCCCATTCTGGAATGTAAACTATGGCACATCCTTGTTGCCAGTCTTTGGACTTCTCCTTGTTCTATTGTCATCAGATTAAGATGAAGAAGGGGGAAAGTAAACATCAAGACATGGATGAGGAATAGATTTTTAAATGGCATGCTACTATCTTCTCCTTAGGTCTCCAGACTTGCTAACATTTGAGCATTCTGTTCTATATTAAATGGTAGCAATGTACTATCTTTAATATACTCTCAAATCTTAAGATCAATTTTGGAAGGAAGAAAAAAAAATAGTCAATAAGAAATTCTGAAAATGCTGATAAATATATTCATATCTAGTGAGAGATACAAATGAGATGATCCTGTATATAACATGATTTGAGTAACAGCTTGGAGAAAAATCATCCATCCCAGAGCAAGTGGAGTTATCAAGCGCTGCATTATACATATGGGGAATACAGAATATTTGATTTGACTGTTTTAAACTTTGTAAAACTATAAATGCTGGATTGTGGAAATGAAAATGCTCCATTAAGGCTTATTTTCAGTGAACAGAGAAGACTGAGAAAGTTAGGAACAAATCAGTGTAAACCAAAGTGTGTACTTCCCAAGTGGAGGGATTAAGGAAAGCTATTCTAAGTTAATAGATTTGTTCATATCACCATATTCTATTGCCTAACTTTTTGTACAGCATCGTGTTCGTTTAGTGTTAGTATAAATATAAGGTAAGTTAGGCGCTAAGCAGAATAAGACCTTTCCAAGTAAGATGGGAGAGAGGGAATAAGTAAGATGCTACTTGAAGCTTATAGTTTAAATTTCATGTCATAACCTGTAAGGAAAAATCTTCATGATGACTTTTTTTCAGCGAAAACAGGCTTCAAACACATGCTAGACAGTCACAACTGACAATTTTATCTCCTTTCCACATACACAGAAGCAAGGAGTTTTTCTTTTAGTTTCATAGATTTTTATTATTAATAGCATTTTTAATCCATGTTTATATGTAACCTCAATTTCACAGGGAAAGTTGAGAAGCTAAATTGCCAAGTAGCAGTATGTTCAGTATTTGTGTGATACTAATCTCCTGCTTAGGAAAACATTGCATCTTAATGCCCTGAATTTATGCAAATAAATAAATAAAGGAAATCAGATTTCTGTGAAAAAGGCAGAAATCTTTCACTGGAGTAGTGATTGCCTAAGGGCCTGATTCTTCTGCTGAAATGAACGGCTTTCATGAGGACTTTAAAAATTGAATTGGCATCTGTGTGAGGCAGTGAAGAACCTGATGTTGCATCTCATGAGAAGAAATTTACTAAAATATTCCTCTCAAGAAATAAATTATGGTAAATCAACCATCTTAACTACAAAAATCAAGCAGATGGCTCTCTCAGCAAATCTGAAGGAAAATGGAAGGATCTTAAGTGATTCTGGTGGATTGGGATAGCACAAGTAGCATGTCTAACTTGTGCTAACAGAGTTTTGCTGCTCTAAGTGTGTTGCTGAAACTTGCTGAGTCGCAAGTTCACCAGTGTTGAGTATGGCACACTTAATATTTGCTACAGTTGGATTTGCTAAGGACATCAGTACATTTAAACAGTGGGATGGAGTTTATAGACTTTCTGCATGTTCAGTGTTATTTATCAGCAAACATTAATAGATCTGTGTTTTATGTTGGCATTTTATTGTGCTAGCAGTTTAGTTTCACTAAAACAGCATCATTTCAACACACACACAGAAGGTGTGCGTTATCATTAAGATAAAGCCTACCTGTTCACCTCCCTTGCTCGCCTGTGTCTTCTCTGGTCTGGTGTTTTATTACATTTCTGTTTGGGATCTGCCAACAGTGGATGTGGCCCACAGTAAGAAAACAGAGCTTAGATGCACTTGGAAACAACTTAGATGACCAATAGAAGGGGACCAGATGTCTGTTTCAACTCAAATATTATCCTGGGATTTTTGTTGTTGTTGTTCGTTTGTTTGTTAAGTGGATAATAAAACAGATAATATAAGGCGTAAACAAGACTTATTTGTTCTAGTCAATATTCCTGACTCTTTGGTTGTCTTGAAAACAAAATTAGATGATTGTGCTTCTGATGAGACATGTTTTCAAGACATGTCAGAGGTCCGTGTTTCTTACAACAGTGCTTTAAAGAGACGGATTTATAATCATGAAAACATTAGAGCTCTGATAGCCAAGCTATGCATTTTGCTGTGTATGAAATATTTCCATAGCTTTTACTTAGAACGGCATAATTTGATTCTCTGTAGAAGATGGTCTAGAAAACTTCATTCTGTCTTTAAAAATGAGTCCCTAAAATAAAGGATGTTGGGTAAGCAATGGTTTCTGTCATGGGTTTTAAAAACTGCAGAATCTTCCCTCCTCGAAAGAGCAGTTAGAGAAATTTAACGGAGATAGCACGCCTTTGAGCAGTGTTAATTAATAATATTATTGGTGTCGGGGAAATAGAATAACATATATGCTCCATCCAACTGAAATATTAGTAAATTTACAGTCTGTCCAAGTCAGAACTCTCATATCATACACATACACTTTGCTTAACTTTTGAAAGTAATTAAGCAGTACTGTGACAGGATTCTTTAAGTTAGTCCCATTTAATATTTCTTTAAAGGAAAAACATATTTGGTTTTTTTTTTTTTTTTTTAGTAAAATAACTACAAAGCAATTACTTTGTCATTTTGATTTACTTGTAGATCCCTTCAAATTTTCTAGTTTTGGTAAAGGTGCCCCATAAGCCTAGTGGCAGTAGAATTGTGTTTCTGAGCTTCCTGATATAGATCGTCTCAAAGATTGGGATTGTCAGATTCCCTATGAATATGTTTTTCAGTTACTGGCAGTGAGAAAACAGCAATGTTAAAATCATGATTTTGGGAGCAAAGCAGTGTATTTAGTTCTCTTTCTTCCTCCTCAAATAGCAAAGTGAATTTGTACTGTCTTTACATGTTGAATATGCCACAGATTCCAAAGACAGGAGGGGTAAATAAATGAAGTTCCAAATGAGAAAAAGTCAAGTGGGAAATTGTCTGGAATTCATAGTCTTAGATTTTCTAAAGAATCACAACACATCTGTAGTCCACCAAGTAACCTGTTGTTGTGTTATTGCTTGTCTTTCTCTCATGTCTCGTGGTATTTTTATGCTGGGTTGTAAAGCATTGTACTTTGGAAAACCAACACAGGGCTGGGCCGGGTTCACAGGCTGGAAGTTTTACAAGCATGTTTACATACAGCAGTCTCTAAAATCTAAGCAAAGAGAGCAGCAGGGACACCAGCCTTACTATTTCAACGTGAAATTTAGTTTCCCCACTCTTCACGTATTCCTGGCCCTTGCTTTCTAAATCTAGCAGAAAAGAATATCAAAATTGCCAATTCCCCAAACTTCTTGACAGCTTCTCATAATTCATCTGTTGCTGCTGACTCTTATTCACATTACACAAAGGAAACCTACCTAACCCAATCCTTTGAAAAGAGGCTGTTAAGAAGGAAGGTTGCTTCTTTGTATCTTTTCTCTGCCCTTTGAGAGGACAATGTTCAAACAGCACATTCTGGTTCCTGTGGCCCCAGCCTTAACAATAAATCCTCTTTGCCATGGAATAAGTGACTAAATGCAAATCTGTTAAGTGCATGTTAAATACAGAGTGACTGTAGCTCTTCTGTTAAATTTTGTTAACTTCATCTGTCTGGTATGAAATCACTGATTAAACATATTATACATTCACATTTTAAGACTCCATTAAGTTACTGAAGTGCAATATCTGTCTATAAATACGAGATCGCTGCAGTCGCAGACTGCGGGCTTTGTTAGCGGTTCCAGATCTTGATCCAAAAATAAGCTGGTGAGACAGATGGGAAAGTGGGAAGCTGGAATTACTAAATGCAGAAAATGAAAGCTTTGGGGTAATCTTGATTGCAATTTTTCAAGCTTTCATGCATTTAATTTCCTTTGAAATTGAAATCTCAGAATTTTCTTATGGTTCTGTATTTTTAATTTTGATGTCAGAAGCTTTTTAAACATTTTTATAAATTTGATGATATTAAAGGACAATTGGATGCTTTTTCTTGGCCATACTGAAATTTACAAATCATTGAGCTGTCATTAATAAAACAAAGGGTTTGATTCTGCTGTTGCCAATAGATTATTGTAACAGATGGGCAATACAAAGCAGACAAATTTTGTTAAATAAAAACATAAATAAGTTAACTTTGTTCCTTGCAACCTGATGATGAATTTTGTTAGGATATACTAGTGTGCTTTGTGAACTATTACAGAAATATTTATTTGCTTTCACGGAGGCATTTAAAGAATTTTTAAATCATTATAATTAATCTCTGTCACCACTGTACAGTGCAGCTGTTGTTTTCTGTTCACTAACCTGTTAAACAAGAAATGTTGTCATTTTGAGTGAGATCTTTTGTTGTGGTCAAATATAAGCTACAGGAGTAAACCTAGTGTCATTTTCCAGGCTTGTATATTCATCTGATATAAATCTTAAAGAAGCTGAAGAAGTAGCTATGATGAAAAAAATACTGGGACCCAAATTAATAAAAGAAAATGAGAATGCTGCTCTTCAGAACACTCAGAATACAAATGTAAATTGTCTTGGAGATAACAAAAGAACAACTGCTAAGCAGGATTCTGTAAGTGGAGCAAAAGAAATTGCTTGTTTGCCTTGCACTGAAGAAGAAAATCCCGTAGTTAATGCAGAAAGCGAGGAAGCTAGAACAGGTGGGTTTGGATTTTTCTTTTTAAAATATTCTCAGAACTGTTATGGATCTAAAAATGTGAGAAAAGGTTACAGCTATTGTTGTAAGGCGACTACTACAGATATTCATATATTGTGCTCCACTTTATTCTTTCACATCATGAAAAAAATGAATTGCTATACAAGTTTGGCTGGAGTAGTTCCCAGACCAGTAGAAACCTGACACCACATCAGACATTGGGCATTTATATCTGCAGCAGTCCAAACTTTTCTCTGTAATTCAGCAAACTTGATTCGTAAGAGTCAAATATTTCAAATCATCTATGTGCAGGTAATTCCAAGCTAGAAACTGCATCTGAATTAGGAGAAGACTTAATGATGCTCTACAAGAAGTGTTGTTGTCCAGATATTACTATTTGTGTAGAAGGCAAAGAGTTTCAAGCTCACAGGTACATTCATTAAGTATTTAGCATGAAGTATTTCAGCAGACATCCTTGTAAAATAAAACACTGCTGGTGCTATCTATCTAGTAAATTATTGCCAATGTTGTTTTCTGCCGATGTTCTGTTCACAGGTGTGAACTGTTTCATTTTTCAGGTTTTATCTCAGAGGTGGACATACTTTGCTACTAATGCAGATTTCTTTTGTTAGCTGAAATTATTCTGAAAATAATTGAGTTTTAGTACTTTTAAGGCTTGTATGCTCATGTAATTAGTATAAAATTGTGTATAAATACTAGGTGTTCTTTGCTAACATTTTAAAAGATCTGTGCTTTCTGGAGAAAACAAAAAAAATGTAATTAACATATATTTATTATTTCTAAATAAGGTTACCATATCTTTAGAAATATTCAGGAATTGGAATATTTTTAGCTCTTCAGAATCCGTGCGCACAGTCTGATTTTACTTTTTTTTACTCCAGCCAAGCAGATGTAATAGAGCTCTTTCTTCAGAGGACAGCAGTCTTTATTAGCTCTAAAGTTCCACACCATGTAAAAATTGTAATTTCTAGCTAAGAAAGCAAATTAAAGAAGCAATATCTTTTTTTTTTCTTACTTGTATGTTTGATGTTTGTATTTGAGATAGCAAACTGGAGAGCTAATTTTTTTGTTTATATTGCATTTATTTATAAAACTAAGAGAGCTGATCAAAAAAAATCCACTTTCAGTGTTTTCTCAGTGCACACCCATGGGAGGGTTTATATTAATTACATTACACATATCCCTACAGAAGATATGGGGACATAGTAATCATAATGGTGAGCTTGCTTTTGTTTTTAATCATAAGATGGGGATATTTTCAGAATTCCCAAAATGGATTGCAGTCAGACATGGCACTTTTCTCTCTCGTCTATAGGAAGGCATGTTCTCAGCTTCACAGTTATGAGAAACAAGTACTTCAATGCAAAAAGAAACTCCATCAGAATATTCAGTGAACAGAGCTTCTTCAGTTTAGGCCGCTTACTGCCTGCAGCCAATGTAGCTATTCTAGTCAGAATATCATGGCAGTAAATCAGAGATTTACAGGCTGTTTTGAAACAGATGCAAGGTTTAATTGTTTGAGCACCACATCATGTGAGCAGTAGGAGTCGGTAAAGGAAGGCTAATTTTGGTTATATTCGTGGTGACAACACCTACATGATTGATTTATTTTGAGAGGTTTCTCATATTGCAGGATGTAATACAAGCATAAAGTATTAAACCACTTATTTCATTAGTCCTTGTTTTTTTCCGTGAAGCCCTATAAGTTTCTAAGAGATGCTGTATAGTACAAGGAGGAATGATATGAGAGAGTTATGTCTCATCAGTGCTTTGCTGTAGTGTCTAAAGAGTCTGTACTTAGCAATACAAATTCTTCAGTAAAAAATCTGTAGCACAAATTCTGCCAAGTTCAGATAATTTTACTTTAGGCATTTGGTATGTTCATGTTAGGTATGTTCATTTATTTTATAAATTATTATTTTATCACTGTTGTATGTTACATGCCTGTGGATAGTATGAGTAGCCTTTTTAATTTAAAATGAATTCTTGAAATATTCCTTTTAATTATGCTTATCCTTATAGTTGATCTAACCCTGGTCATTACTAAACTAATTTGTAGCAGACTGATAATATTAGAGACACAGTATTTCACATCTTCATGATACTTATTACTGCATTTTGTAAGAACAAGAAAGTGCGTGTGTGCACAAGTGCAGAATTTCCCATATCCAGAGCTGTGCTATAATGCTCTTGTAAGCATGGACATATTTAAATCCGATGTGAAACATTCTGTACAAGTGTAATTACTGCTGGCTGAGTCACTGGAGTGATGTGTGAGAAATGTCAACTGAGACTTTCGAAGAAGAAAGGAGAGTTATAAAAGAACCCAGAGTAAAAAATAGAAAAAAAATGGTTAAAATTTTCTTCTTCCTATACAAAAATGAGCATTCTGATATATTTTGTGAACCAACAGATATAAAACATCTAAAAGAGAGTATTCTCATGCAGCTTTTTTTTAAGAACATTTACCTACTACAGAAAATAAGTAACAAAGTCATTTTATAAATAATCAGAAGCTTAGTAGGTGTCATAAAAAATTGCATGTATGAGAATACCATCTCCAGCTATAGTAGGCCAAATAGAATGTATAAAGACTGACACTGTCACTGGTAAAAATGTGCAAGGTTAAAATCAAAAGCAGGTTTTTTTTTGCTCTTCTATTTCTACCTCAAGAAAAGAAGTCTCTGCCGCAAAGGTCTCTTGAACAATCTAGCACTGATAGAGATGTTGAGCTAGATAAATTCCTGGCCTTTATTGTCTTTCACGGAAGTAGTAGTAAATCAGGTTAGCCTCTTTATATCCTGTTATGCCTTTTGAATATGGAAATACAGAGTAATAGTCTGAACAAAGGTATTTGAAAGTTCTTCTCAAATAGGGCTGGAAACAAATCATACTGCTGGTTATGTTAGCATCAAGTTTATTTCATCTTTAATATGTGCCAGTTAGGTGGGCAGTTTAATACTTACCTTTTCATTTTAATAAATAGATTTTTTTTTAGTACAAATGGAATTTGTGGTAGAGCTTAAAATGATAAAGCTAAAACAGTGCTGTGTGTACACATATGTGCATATATATACAGCTGATATATACTATTATTTTGTAAATAAAGTGGGATAAATAGATTTGCAATTTCATATCATATAAGAAGAGAATGCTTGTGGCAATAGGCTTCTCTGTGAATGTTAGTCACACTAGAAGCAAGCTTTAACTGGGAAATCTAGCATACCAACCTTTCTCTTTTCTTTAGCATGTTATGAAATTCTAAACATTCTGGAAGAAAAGGCATGCAGTATGCAATGACAGATTAATGTGTAGAGGGCAAAGATTTAAGTCAACATTATCAAAGAGTTTCATAATAAATATTTGTATCTAGTGGAATAATATTTACTTTTTGTCTCTCTCAGGGCCATTTTATGTGCCAGATCTAGTTACTTTGCTGCGATGTTGAGTGGAAGTTGGGCTGAAAGCTCCCAAGAGCGCATCACTCTTCAAGGGTAAGTGTTGTCTTTGCAAGTCACATGGGAGCAAAGGTAGGTGATTTAAAATCACTGCAAATACACAGCAACTGTGCTGCTTACAGAGCGCTGGAGATTAATGTGCCTTGACGTGCTGTTCGGGGTGATATATTTCCTGAACAGTATTTTGACTTCAGTACAAAACAATGTTCAAAATGCATTTGTTAATATTGTCAGAAGGAACAGGAAAGAAGTTTTATTTTGTCTAAAAGAGAGTACTACCCTTTTTATAGAGCACGTTTTAGTATTCACAGACTATTTTGCCCTTTTCCTACTTGCCTCATGTCACAGATGTTGTGGAAAAGTACCACAAAAGACTGGATAGTGTAATTTATTTTCATGGCTCTTTGTAAAATAAGAGAATCCTATTTATGACAAAATGACAAACATCTGTATTTCGTAAATAGTGTTAAATAATGATATTTCAGTATCATATACCAAAATACTTTGTACTAGCATGCTTGTTTCTAGTGACTTTGAATACAAGTACTGAAAATAACTGAGCTGTGAGTGTAGGATGAATACTTAGGACTTTGTAGATAAACTGGGGATCAATTTATTTCTTTCCAATATCACAAAAATCAATCAAAAGATTTTGATTTTCCAGTAAAAGCAAGCTAATAATGTTAGCTCTTTTGGTTTGTGTGATATTGGTCAATTCAGCTTTTTTCACAGAGAATCATGTGCCTTGCAATGCTGCAAAATGTTTGCTTTATTTTAATATAAAATCGCTTGGCCAAGTGGTTCTTTCTGGTATTTTCATCATCTTCTCTCTGTCATATTTTTATTATTGCATTACTGTAGAATCATAACTTTTTTTTTGGTTGATTTGCTTATTTTTGAATGCTGGTAAAAATAATACCCTTTAAATGTAATAGATTGCTTAGCTTTTATGCTATATGCAGTATGTGTTTTAGAGGTTGGTGGTCAACGGTTATTCTGGTATTTCTCTCCCTGAAATTGATTTTCATATTTATCAAAGAAATTTTAATCTTTTTTTTCCAGTAAAAGCTTTCTCCTGTAAGTACTTAATCCTTATACAAGTATATTGTCAGGCCAAATTCTTGTAATTTCCAATATTAAGATTCATCTCCATTGACTGTAACTTTTCTAGTTCATTTTTCTGCTTTGTGCATATTTTCATCCTGTCTTTTTAAACACTTATAAATAAAGTACATATGGCTTACTCTGAAATAATGAAAATTCTGTATAGGATAACAGCTGTCAAGACAGCAGGGAAACTCCTCCTTGCAGATTTTATGGCTAGCCTGTGTCTAATATATAGAGAGACAACTGTGGTGATTTTGCTGCTTAGCATGTTGCAACCATTTTTTTTCTTTTGTTTTCAGTCATCAATGTCTGTTGCTTAAACGTAGCTAGGGTCTTAGCTGCATTTGCCTGGCTAGCTTATATTAATGTACACTGCATTGAAAATTACACATTGAGATATACATATGTAAGTACAATGATGTACTTTTAGAAGATTGTCCATCATGTAAAAATACATATTCTGGGCCTCTGTCCATTCTGGGGCTGGAGCAATGCAGAGAAGCAACTGGCAATTTTGTGAAGTGCTTTCAGGTTTCTTCTCCTTATTTATTTTGAATACAGCCATAGAGACTGTCTCCCTTCTGAGATGAAACTTTTCTCCTTAGCACTGTAATAGAACTATTAAGTGTATTTTTATTGAATCTATTCCTAAAACCAAGAATTAAAATAATAGAATGATTTTGAGATGTACAGTTACTTAACAATTCAGTCATTACTAGTAAAGAAGATTTAATTAAAAAAGAGACTTTCCTCCATATAATCAGAATAAATAATCTAGAGTTTAGGTAATTATTACAGATATTATTAGTATATGGTGCTATTTTGCTTATGACTAATCTCAAAGATTTAAAGTATCATAAAGTTTTACCAAGACTGCTGAGTAGCTAACAACCCATAATGCCATCCCTTAGATAAAGTATTTCCTGCCTCCAAGACTACTGCAATGTAAAATTATCAGGTCATTTACCTTCCATTCACTGAAAGGCTTTATGATGTATTAGCCCTTTGACCAATTACTTTGGTTAAAAAAGTGATAGCTTTTATTCTGTATATGTCTTTATTTCTAGTGATGTTTTTCTTTCTTTTTTTCCTTTGCAGCATAAACCATATAGAAATGAGTGTCATCTTGCATTTTATATATGGAGGTATTCTGGACTTTCCAGACAAAGTTGATGCTGGGTATATGTCAACTTCCAGTTATTTTTAGATGCAGTTTATACCTGTTCTGTTTTCTCTCAGTTATATCAAAAGAAGACTTCTAGAAAACATCTAGTATAAATAAGACAAAGATGTCAAATGTGATCATTATATCTAAGCATACTTGAGGACATTCCAAAAATAAAACTGTTGAAGAAATCTTGTTTACTCAGCAGCTACTGGAAAAAGTGGGCCAGTAATTTTTGGAATATTATATGAGAAAAGTAGCAAGCAATGTAACTGTTAACTTTTTTTCTGCCATAGTTTCTAATCTTTTAAGTTTCTAATCTACAGTAATTCTAAACCAATTAAATTACTTCTGAAATGTATAACTCCTTCCTGAAATAATTTATATATCATCTATTGAACTTTGCAAAATATTTAAACCCTACAGTTTCTGAATTTTAGAAATTTGTTTGTAAAAGCTTATCTAAAATATAGTAGTGTTTATAATGCACCACAGTGTCAAAATTTAAAACAGTAATTGATATAGAAAATAATTCTATGCTATTGATTAGTATATAAAATTAATAGTTTGTTCACTGAGCATTTTTAGTATTCAGAAGTGATACAATTCTCAGATACTATGTCATTAATAACATTTTATGTAACCCTTAGAAAGAAAAATTATGAAAAGCCAAAACTGCTAGCACAGATATACTTTCATTTGCTCTCTTTAAAATAAAGAGAAAGTGAGAGTCTTCTCGACATTTTTTCAAGCAGTTATTGAGGCTTACTTTTATGTTGATTGGAATCAGTGGTTGGGTAGACTATTTTTAGGTTGATAAATGTCCCTGTTTGAAGATTCTTCTTTGGAGAGTTTCACACACGGTTACCAGTTTATTGCCTGTACTAACTTCTGATTGAACAGACAAGTGAAATATAGTGTGTGAATTGTCTTATAAGCAAAATGTACATATCAAAATGTAGGGTTTTGTTTTGGTTTTGATTCCTCTTATTACTGCTTTTTCTTTAGCCACATATTGGGTATTGCAGATATGTATGGGCTAGATGGACTGAAAGAAGTAGCTATCTACATTTTGAAGAGAGATTACTGCAATTTTTTCCAAAAGGTAAGTCTAGATCTATGAATTCTCATGCTACTTTATCATCCACAAAGCCAAAGGGAAGAACTGTGATTCTGTAGTTACAGATCACAGTGACGGGATCACTTGCTGTGCGGCCAAGGGTTAGCTTGAATCAGCAGACCCTGTTCTTCTGTGTAGAGCTGTTAAATTCACTGAGATTGCAGCTGAGAGCAAGCCTGGATTCCTCCCCTTACGGGAACTTGCCATCTGCCCCTGATGAAAAGCAGTATTCCATTGCATCACTTAAACTTGTATTAAATTATATGGACTCTAATACAGTCCAGTGCATATATAACTTGTTCATAATTGGAGTGCAATTATGGAAATACTGTATATTTATGTATCAGATGTAATGGGCATATATTTTTAAAATACTTTTGTTCAATTTAAGAATCTAAAAATATACAACTGTTTAAAGTTGAGCCTTTTTCTGCATTAGGCTCGTTAGGCTGAATGCTACATTTTTGACGTGTATGCTGGCAGATCACTTCCCTGTTCTGCACAAAGGCAAACGAACTTAAATCCTGTGGTAGCTCTCAGTACTTCTGACTGATCTGAAGATTTTGTACTCCTGTACAGTTTGTATAAGTAAGAATGTACAATAATTGTGACAATTTTCAAACAACTGTAGCCTATTCCTGGAAAACCGCAACCTGTACTTGAATGCATGGCTATTGCTCATTCATTGGGAGTGGAAAACCTATATGCTGCTTGCATGAAGTAAGTAAAATAAAATAAAATGAAGTTTATCTTTTCGATTTCTCTGTTCACAATTAAAATCAATTTATTTTGAAAGATTGAATTTATTAAATTTTCAAGGTTTTTACTTTTTTTCTCATAATATTTTATTGAGATCACTTAACATTAACAAGGGAAGATCGAAAATTGTTTCATCTGTTTCTTACCTGAAAAAGATTTTTTTTCCCTCAACAGATGGGTACAAACAACTGTCTTGTCATGTTGATTCAGTCTTTGGTAAGTAGTATATGGTGTGCTTCATATAAAAATATGTAAATTTTTGCTTACTTAGCTCTGCAGAGTAATTCAAGAGATAATAAATGCAGTATTAAATTTGTAGTACATTAATTATGGTATATAAAGATCTCATTAAAATAACAATTTAAGAACAGATTTTGATGTGCAGATGTAGTTGCTATGCTTCATGTAGCATAGTCTAATGAAAATCATGCACAAGTCCAGCATAATAATACAAAGCAGTTTAGTAAATACAGTTGTGCTGTCATAGCACAGCATCGTGTATTCGGACACACAGGCACATGAATTTACTCTTTTCAGTAACATTGAGGGTGGGGTGCCAAATGGTAGCATTTGTGATTCCCTTTTCCTCTTTACCTATATTCTGATCTGGAAAGGTAGGATGGTGGATTTTTTTGTTTTTGTTTTTTTGTAGACTTCAAGTGATCATTGACTACCACTGATCAGAAGTCACCTATTCATAGTCAAGCTAATCTTTCAAAATAAAGTAACAGGACAGTGCATGTATGCATATTTTCTATTGTACATATGATGATGTTGAATTTATCCTTCAAAGCTAATCATTCACTCTTTGTAGTATATTTATATATACTTATGTAATTATAATCTCAGTTTAGATCTACCTAAACTTATTTATTTCTGAATCATGTTAAGGATTGCTATGTGAGTGGACTAAGTTGACTTAAAGCAACTGCTTTGAACTTAACCCATTAACAGAAAATTTGGTCTGGCAGACTGTAGCTATAGCTGTTACAACAAAGTATGTTGCTATTATAATAGATCAGTACACTACATTGTTCCTACTATATGTACGCATATATACACCTCTGTGGCCATACGTATGTCTACATCATGTATAGTAGTAGAACTGAACTACTAGAGTAGTTTCAGTTCAGGTTCTCGCAGATCAATCCATTTTGATATATGAGTCTTCGTGGTTGCGCCAGCACCATTGCTCAAGTAGTTCAGATATGTAATGTAAAGACAGTGCACTGTAGATGCAGCTCCAGTATCACCCTAATGTGACAGTTGTCAGGAAGCATAAAGTTAAAGCCAAGCCACCTTAGGCCTCTCTTCCCCTCTCTGCCAATTATAATATGTCAAGAGACATTTTGCTAGTTTAACATTAGTGTGGCTGGGTCTTCGCAAGATCCACCCATATTTTATGGACTGATGCGTAGAAAGGTCTTAGAACTGCAAGTTTAAAACAAAGTATGATGAGCCTCTTCTGCCCACAGAACAGTTCTGTTGCCTGAACACTTCACTCTGAGGCCTTGTGGCACCAAGTCCAAAAATATGTAGAATTTACTGTGTAGTTTTTCCAACTCAGAATCTGCAAAAACGCTTCAAGTTCTCAAAAGAGAAAGAAAAAAGGTCCAGCATTAATTTTAGAGGGGCTACTATATGTTTTACAATCCCTTTTAAAGTCGTCTGTTGTATAACTTGTACTTAATACTTGTAACTTAGTAGTTACATCCAGTTAAATAGTATGAGCCTTTTGCTTCTCATTTTCTAAAACAAGCTACTGTATTTTTCTAGGACATAAAAGGATCTTCTCCATTCAGTTTCTTCAGGTCTGATTTGCATTTCGTGTTCAGGTTTGCAATATACACATAGTTGAAAAATACCATAAATGCTACTGAGAGCTTGATCGCCCATCTTCAGCAGGCAAAATGGAAGCACTAGATTTCCAGGGTTTTGCTTTAGCTTTTAAAGTGTAGATATAATGTCCTGAATTATCAAAATCCATTTTTATTTAAATAAAGAAAACTAATACATGGTTAGATATTTGTGTAACTGAACAGAACTGGTATTATAAGCAGCAATTCTTTACATGGTTACTCTGCAATAGGTTAACTTCTCTTTTTATTTTAAGAACCACAAGAATGCTCCTTTCCTTTTGATGGAAAGTGACCGGTTGATCTGCAGCCTTCCTCAAGTGAAATGGACTGAGAAAGCTGTTGCCTTGGCATCTAGGCTACAGGAAGAATGCATAGCCTTTATTGTGGCAAACTTCCTACATATAGTGAAAAACGAAGGCTTTTATAGTTTTTTGCAGGTAAAAATCCCCCCAAGTTGTTGTATGATGCTGCAATAAAAATGCCTGTATAAAAATGCATGCATAAAAAACATATAAAAATAAAAATGTATTTACACTTTTGGTAGTTCAGGCTGCTACATAATCAGATTTTTGTTGTTCTAAGGTATGTTTAAATGGAAATTTAATAAAGAATTAAGCATTTTTATCAGTGATATTTTGAAGTAAATTAAGGGCTAATGCTGTGTTCATATATATGCTTAAGGCATGCAGAAATTCCAGTGAATTTAGTGGGACAATTTCTGTGTTTCACAGAGAAAAGTATATGCGTAAGCTTCCCACAAGTTTCCATAACACTGAGTCCCCCCCAAATGACAGTTAGAACTCACCTAATCATCTGCCAAGTTATTTTTCCCCATGAACAATTTTTAATAAGTAGCAAATTAGAAATATTAAGTATGAAGTTGTTAAAACATTTTGGATTCAGAATTGTGTGTAGCTTTAAATTCATCACAGGCTGTATGTTCCTCAAGTTTGGGTTAACCAGAGGTCTGGAGGGGGAAGGGGTATGGAATAGGTACCCAGGAAAATGCTGGGCCTCT